GTGATAAATCCTTTCTGGGTTTCCTATGGCTTTCTCTTCTTCCCCCCATGTGATTTCGATTTCAAGTTTTCACCTTTTGAATAACTTTATGATTTTTTTATAGTTTTAACTGGGTGTTAATCCAGAGTGGGTCACATCAGCAGGTGGGTTTGGAGGACTGTGATAGGCTGTTTTTAGGTCTAGGTGTTCGGCTAATGCGTATGTTGGGGGATTGATTTAATTTCATTTCAAACTAGTTTCTCACTTTCTGCTTTGGTCTTTAACAGTTTCTCTTCTTCACCCTTCATCTCCCTTCTCCTGTTGTATCTTCTGGTACCATTTTTTTCACTCAAGGTGAAGGAAAGCTATGTTCTTTCTTCTCTGTTTACCCCATCTTCGTTTCCTTTTGTCTTCTTCTCAAAATAATATAGGGGCAAAATGACGTGGATCTCCTTTTTTTTTTCAGAAAATAATTGGGATTGATGGGGTGGGGGGACAAGTGTTGGTGCTCTGAATTTATATTTAGTTTTTGTTTGTTGCCGTACTTTTTAGGTTTCTATTCTTTTAATTATTATTAGAGCTTTGGTTGGATTTCATTCGGTTTTTGGAAAGTGGAAACCATTTTTTCTTTTCCTTCAAGTTCTCTAGTCTTTTTTAAAGCAAATAGGGTGCTGAAATAAACAAAGGTAAAATCGACGGTGGCACTTTAGGCTATAAATATATAATGCATTTTGAAAATCTCAAAAGGGTTTTATCCTTTCACTATCTGAAAATGGGGAATTATATTCTCCCATCAGTAGGTAGATCCAAATGATGACTCACTATCATCATGTGTTTGTATGGTCTCTTTTTTTGGTCCCAGATTTGTTTGTATAGTCTAAAAGGGTAGTTGGCTTCAGTGATGCATTTTGTTGGGGGCTTTCTAGCTGGGCTTTTATGTATTTGTGGCCAAATAAAAGCTGGGGTTCTTAAGAGCTTGCAAACCCTGGTTATTTTTGAGCCTTTATGATTTAATTCATTGTTATTTATTTCAAGAAATGGTCTTGGTTATGTGTTCATTCATATTTTGTGATTGCAGTGAGTGCGTGAGTTCTAAACTCCAACTCTAAAATTCTTGCATGACTTATAAAATTGCTAATTGAATTCTCTTTTCCTTGTTTAACAGATTTCATCGTTTCGGGAGAGCAAATCTGATGATAGGCGTTTTTACATCTTCACTGCCACAAAGACCCTTCATTTGAGAACTGATTCAAAGAGAGATCGGGTAGCTTGGATACAAGCTTTGGTCTCAACTAGGAGCCTCTTTCCATTGAGTCCACTGAATGATAACGTCTCACTTGTGCCACGAGATGTATCTCTGTTGACTGAAAGGCTTAAGAAAAGGTTACTTGAAGAGGGAGTCAATGGTGACCTTGTGAAGGAGTGCGAGCAGATTATGCTGTCAGAGTTTTCTGAGATACAAGGACAACTTAAAGTTTTGTGTGAAGAACGATCAAATTTGCTTGACACAATAAGGCAGTTGGAGGTAACCTTTAGCTTTTAGCAATTTCTCATGCCTCAATCCTCTCATTTTAGATTGTCAATGGGAATGTTATATATGGGTGTTTGGGAATGTTATAACTTCAGCTTAGGCTTGGCTGAGTGAACCTAGATCTAAAGAGTTGTTAGCTTAGTGATAAGTAGGCTTGGATTTGGCGTAATTCCTCTTTCTCATTTATTTACTGCATTATTGCCTTAATTTAATTTAAAAATTGTAGTGATTGTAATGGATTTTTATTTTTTATTTTTTTGCGGCCATGTAGTGATTCTATTGGATGCATGTTGTAAATTAAGAAATTGTGTTTGGTATGGAATGGTAAATAACTCAACCTGATGAGACATCAACAAGAACTGCAAATTAGCTCCAAATACTAAGATTCTTGGCCAATTGCCTTGGCCCTATAGCCTGAACCTGAACTGTTTTCCACTGCTTTGATTCAGTTTCTGTCCATACTCCATAGTCCATAGTTCCTTTTATCGGACTCCTTTCAATTAGCATGAGATTTCATTATTTCTCAAGCTTCGAAATTTTCCTTGTCTCATCTGTATTTTGCTGGCAAGTTTTTTTATTTTTTATATGTTCAATTTCATGTTGCTTATGCAGGCAGCTAATCTTGAAGCTGAAGCTTCTGGAATTCATGCTGTTGAATACCAATTGTCAAAGAATGAATATTCCAGACTAGGGCATGGAAAATATAGCGGTATGGATCTTATCTGCAACATATGATCCACTTTTTAAGATGTTTGTATTTACCTTTATGGAGTTTGCTTTTGCAATTTATCATATCTAGTGTTGGGCTTATCAATCGGGGATGTCTTTGTGATTTTGGGGTAAAAACGTATGATCGTATCTATTATAGAGCTTGATTGGTAAGCTGATGTTTAAATATATGGGTTGAGGTCTTATTTAAGTACCAAATGTTCATTTCGTGTGCCCTTTTCTTTTTGGTTTGACGTATTTTGGGTATGCAGAATGCACTACAACTGAATCATCTGATGATATTGAGAAACAAGAGCTTGGGGAGGTATCTGATGAAGATGAAGCAAATTTTTTTGACACAAAAGAGAATTTTACTGAACCCAGTGTGAGTTGTGGCCCTATAGCTGCAGCTGCATGCACAGGAAAGCAAAAGGAAATGGAAAATCAGTTTGATGATGAAGAGAACATGAATGCGGAGAAGGAAGATTGTAATTCTAGATATCCTCACATTGATAGACGAAAAAGACTTCCAGACCCAGTTGAAAAGGAGAAGGGGGTCAGTCTTTGGTCTATGATCAAAGACAATGTGGGAAAAGATCTCACACGAGTTTGTCTGCCTGTTTACTTTAATGAACCAATATCATCCCTTCAAAAATGTTTTGAAGAGCTGGAGTATTCTTATCTTTTGGATCAGGCATACAAGTATGGAAAAGATGTATGTTGTAAAGGCTGTACTTGTTCTCTCTTTCTCTCTCCCTCTCTCTCCTTTCTCTTCTGCATCATTGTTTTAGATAGGATTGATTTTCTATTTTCATATAGGCTTTAAAACAATTCAACCCATTAGTGCATTTGATAGCTTTAGAAACAGGTATTATTAACATTTTTGTTGTTTAGATGATATTTAGAGGCTTTTGTCATTATTTTCAGTGATTACTTTAAAAATCTGTCATTTTTACCTTCTCTTGTCAGATCTGCATTGACTCAATGGATGGTTTCCTAAAGTTTTTAATGAACAGCAGCAATTTGTTCACTTTTGTCCCTTTTGTTTGTTTTGTTTTGTTTTGTTTTGTTTTGTTTCTTCTTCTTCTTCTTCTTCTTCTTCTTTTTTTTTTTTTTTTTTTTCCTTTTTTAAATATCCGATGAAATCTCACTATCTGCTCTATTTGAATGTCTTGTTTTCAGGGGAACAGCCTCCTACGGATTCTTAATGTTGCTGCATTTGCAGTTTCTGGATATGCTTCATCTGAAGGCAGACACTGTAAGCCCTTCAATCCTCTGTTAGGTGAAACTTATGAAGCTGACTATCCTGATAAAGGAGTTCGGTTCTTCTCAGAGAAGGTTAGTATCAGTCTCTCACAACATAGGTCTTCCCACAAGGAGAAAAAGAAAAATGCTGCATTTGTTTGAACTTAGATTGAATGGGGAACTGAGTTTGATAGATTTGGTCTCTTAAATCTTGAAAAATCAAGATTTAAGAGAGTCCAATTGGTGTATTATGTTGAACCTTTAAGTGAGAGAGAGCAACATTCTGAAGAAACTTAGATGGATTCTGGTGTTAAGATATTAAAACCAACAGAACTGGGTTGAAGGATAAAAAATTTAACATGTTGTATCTTTGAAGCATCATTTGCAAGTTAATTGAAACTTGGAAGTTAAAAATCCCCTGGAAAGTTTTACTAAGAAGAGAGGAAGACTTTCATAGTTCTTTGATTATTGGATGGAAGTTCCCATAAATGGAAGGAGTTTTAATACATGTGAAATAGTTCTAACTGAACTTCTTTAATCTGTACTTGAACGGGAATTGTTTTTATTGAACTTCCAAAGCAAACAGGAATAATATTTCTAACTTGCAACAGGTTAGTCACCATCCGACCATCATTGCCTGCCATTCTGAAGGTAGAGGGTGGAAATTCTGGGGTGACAGCAATCTCCGTAGTAAATTTTGGGGACGTTCAATTCAGCTTGACCCTGTTGGAATTCTGACTCTAGAATTTGATGACGGTGAAGTATTCCAGTGGAGCAAGGTAGGTAGTGCTGCATCATGCATTTGGTGGATATGGACTGCCTGGTTTTTTGGATGTTCTTGTTTGATTATTCCATTCTTATTTGTGTTTTAAAATTGCTAATTTTTTTTGGGTAGGTCACGACTAATATTTATAACCTTATCCTTGGTAAAGTTTACTGTGATCACCATGGAACCATGCACATTCAAGGTAATCGCCAATATTCATGCAAGCTCAAATTCAAAGAGCAGTCTATTCTTGACCGGAACCGTCACCAGGTTAGTTAATGTTCCATTCTTTTAGCAAATTCAGTTTCTTGCCAGCAGTCTTGCTAGGTTCTGAGGTTGTGTCTATCTAGTAATTATGCACTTACAAAGCTGCTGTGTGGTGGTTCAATTTTTTTCGGCTGGTCTATCTACGTACTTTTGTCTGGAGTTATTTTCTATTGTAATTATTTTCCATTTGCATAATTTACATAGGTCGATGGCTTTGTTGAAGACATATCTGGTCAAAAGATTGCAACACTATCTGGCAAATGGGATGATAGCATGTATTATATCATTTCTGATGGGAATAGCAAGCCAAAAGATTGCAATCCCTCTTCAAATGCTACCTTGCTTTGGAAAAGGAATGAGACACCTCCTAATCTGACTCGGTACAACTTAACATCATTTGCAATCACACTAAATGAGCTGACTCCGGGGCTAAAGGTAGAGATGATGTATTGCATCAGTTTCTCATATGCATCTTCCTTTTCTCTTATGCATATCTAATTGTTTTTTATAGCTTTGTCTGATCCCGGGTATTTGATAACGGATTAAGGAGAAACTCCCTCCTACGGATTCCAGGCTTAGACCAGACCAACGGCATTTGGAGAATGGAGAATATGAGAAGGCAAATGCAGAGAAACAGCGGCTGGAGAAGAGACAAAGAATGGTATGTTCCCTGCCCCTTTCTATGTATCAGTAAATAACTCTACATATTTCTATCCTTACAGTCTTATTTGGATCCTAACTCTTCACACAGTCGAGGAAATTACAAGAGAATGGTTGGAAGTCAAGATGGTTTCAGAAGGGAGGTGAAAATGGATCCTTCCGCTATGTTGGTGGATATTGGGATGCAAGAGAACAAGGGAAGTGGGATGGATGCCCAAATATATTCGGTGAATTCAGCCAAGAACTTGTTGATTCATCCCAAGTGTCCTGAAATCGGTTCATGTAAGTAAGATTCCTACTCACAAACTACACTGTTGTAATTGTTTCCTTGTTATGCAGCAACATTTTTGCTACTATTACACTGTCCTTGATTTCAGCTGCTTGCTAGCAGCAACAGGGCGAGTGAGCCCATTCTCTATCAATGGATAGCTAACTACAAACAGATCAAGACTTAATTTACTGCCCAAATTGACTGTATGTTTGATAATATTCAGAAGAACTGATTGATTTTGTTGGTTAATGCAGAATGAAAATTTTGGTGATGATTACCAAGTGAGCTGAACTCACAGGTAGTTTGCTTTTCGCCATTCTTGCCGTTTTGCAAAGAATAAGTGACCCCATATACATTTTCAGAGGTGTCAAAAGGGACAATGTGGAGGAAGAATTAGTATCTTGTAGTTGGTAGACAATGGATTATATAATATCAGAGCAGCATAATATTTTCTTTCACATTCTCTAGTGTGGGATTAGCTTATGGAAATGTAATACTGATCTCCTTTCCTTTCTACCCACACTACATTTATTTTAGGTACTCCAACTGTATTAGGATGTCATGTGACAATTTTATTTGATGATAATTTTTATTTCCTCAATCCTCAAGAATAAATGAGGGGAAAAAAAGGAGGAAAGGTTATGCCATTGTTATCATCTAGACTAGATATGCAAGCCATTATTCAAACTTTCAAAGCATTTGGGATTGACATGTAATAAGAATTGATTCAGCCTTTATTGCTGGATTTATTATTAAGGAAGTCTAATATTATAAGTTAGGTTTAAAATTTAAATTTTAAGGTTAGTGTTTTAAGTAAATTAATTTTTTTAAATATGTCATGTTAATGTTAGAAATGTACTTTTAATATGATTTTTTAAAATCTATCTTAAAAATATAAATTAAAAATATATATTTGTAATAAATTTATATAAAAATATAAAAATAAATATTAATTTTAATGTTAATATTATGTAAATAAATTTAATTAGATGATTGATAAATTAAATATTATTTTTTTATTTTTATTGTTTTAAAACTTTTAACTTGTGCACTTACTACACATGATGGAAAAATTTTAATATTATTGAAAAAATTAATCTAAAAACATTTGATGGTAAATAAAAAGAGAAGTATTGATGGGCATAATAAGTTAGGAACTCGAGGTTATTGAAGAAGTATTAATTAAAAAAGGAATTATTGCTATTCCAAAGCAGGAAGGAGAAGTAAAAGAATTCGGCGGTTGGTAAAGATAGAGGTAATAGAATTGAATAGAACTTAAATAGGCAAGCAGCCTTTTCTTCCTAATTCAAGGAAAAATATAGGCAGCGCA